TCACATTGGTGGGCGTTTATTCCATTCAAGAGAAGAAGCTGCAGTGGTGTTTAGGGACGCATTGAATTTTTGAGAGGGAGGGGGGAGCTGCTGTCACTACACTGACATAGGATTTTTGGGAGAGCGCCCATCTAAGGAGGACTGTTGGACGGACCGCTGGTTTCACGGTCTTTTGAGTGTTGGGGGGTTGTTACAGATTTTTGGGGGGTACTGTTCTCTTTGGAACCTTGGGGCAGCCGCGGTTTGTGGCGCAGTGACTTCCTTTGCAATTAGCGCAGGAGAGGGTGGCATCTTTTCTGTCCTTTGCCTTACATTCGGCAGTGATGTGGTTGCGACCACAGAAGGAACAGACCCAGGCGGCGTGACAGTAATTGGCCGTGTGGAAGAATTTCATGCAACGGCGGCATTGTGGGATGTCTTTAGTGGCCCTTTTTGATTCAACTTTTACGATGAGGCCGCAGACTTTGCTATGTTCGAAGATTGACTTGGACTTTGGAGAGGTTTTGTCCAGACGTACGGACACTAAGGGTCAGATTTTTCCACCGCTGGACATTCGGTGAACGCCGCGGATGGTAATGGCTTTGTGAACAACTTCGGCTTTGATATCTTCTGTGAAGATGTCTTCGCAAACTCCACGGAGACAACATGGATATTGTGGTCTTGTTTAAGTTGATTTGTAGAAAACTCAACTTTGGATTCGAAAGTCGTCGAAAATCATCAACGAAGTTGGGATAGATTCTTATCGCTCCTTTTGGCGGTCTCAGCTTCTGTGAAGTCAGCGGCAGAGGTCCTGTACTGGGAATGTATCGCCTATTTATACTAACCTCAGTAAAAGCGGGGGTTCTGATAAAGAGGGGTTGAAAGTGGGGTAGTGAGAGAAGGGCAAAAATTAACGACAAAAACTATTCCATATGAATTTGACATATTCTTACTCGATATTTTTTACATGGCACGTATTCGCAAAAATCATATCTTTGCAAATAACTCGGTTTGAAAAAACGCAATCTTAATAATTTTCTGCTACGTATAAACATCCTTCAAATACCTACCACTTTTGTTTGAAACATTTTTTTTCTACACTGCTGTAGTTCAAAAACCGCTTTTCACGCTATGAATTATTAAATTACATACTTTCCACTAATACTTCAACGAAAAACCCCATGCTGTGGAATTACAAATTTTTCAAATCTAATTTTATTCATCATTGCTTAAATTTTGAGGATGATCTATGATTTTGACAAAACACCTACATTAACCACTAGTAAATATTGTTTTTGAACCATAATTGTTTGTCAGCTACACTTGAACGGTTGTATTAAACTGTATTTGTTTTTCGTAACTATTTAACCCGTAGGTCCTTAGTTACTTACTTTTGTGTTATTTAAATGTCAGGGTACATGTTCGATATACAGTCGATCACACTAGCACTAGGTGCAGTACGTCGCGTAAAAGAGGTATATTTAAACAAATTTATTCAACTTTTTATCCAGTTTCAGACACTAGTACCCAAATATAATTAGCTCATCGAAAAACATGTTCAAAGCTTTTGGTCATCACATCGACTGATTATTGGTCAAAAGGGAAGGAGAAAAACTCTTTTGAAAATGCAACTTTTTTTGCTGGAAATGACGTAAAATGGCCTAATTATGCAAAACATACATGAAAAATCCAGGGGAAGGTCTTTTTAACGCTTTTTTTGCAAATTAATATTTTTAGATCACACGTCAATGTTGACACCTCATTTTCATAGTCGCCACCTCAATTTTCATTAATAATTCAACTTCTGTAGTACTCGACTTAAACCTCACAGTTGAAGCACCCCCTGACCCCTCGTGTAAATAAATAGTTTTTGTCGTTATCAGTCTTAGAAGTTAATTTTGTTAAACCCTCGTACACTATAGTATTATCTCTTTATATTCCCCTCCCTTAGGATAGAGACTTTTCTGAACTTCCCCTTCTCCTCCCCCCAAGCGTTCCAACTATCGTCGCAGACGATTTCAATGCTAAACACGTCTCTCACCAATAGTAAAGGCACCTTCCTTCTCGCCAATGTTCTCGTCTTACCCCTTACAGTTAAGGCACCCCCTGAACCCTCGTTATTCTCTGCTACCCATAATTAATTCCCTGACATCCTTAACATTTTTGTCAAAAAAAATGTTACAGTATCCGCCAAAACCAGGACCACTTTCCAGTCCTAATTGAAGTCGGCCGTCCATTCAACAACCCCCTAAGCACAACTACTTCACTGAACTAGCTACATTTTCGTAACACCCTCGAAACATCTTCATTCAAGTGCACTGCACTCTACCTCCCACTCCACACCCGCCAAAGACAAAACCTTCTCTGCAGACATTCTTTCTCTTCTTAAAAGGAAAAACAGAACCCACCGCCAGTGGCAAAGACAGAGTCTCTTCTAACGAATACATCGCTCAAGCAAAAATACATCACAAAAGCACTTGGAAAGTCATCCGTTCTCTCTGAAACAGGGCTCCCATCTCCCACCATGAATGTAAGGAATGCAAGGCAAGAGTCAGGAAAGATGCAACCCTAACCTGTGCTAACTGCAAAGGGAACCACCGCGCCACCTATCGTGGTTGTTCCAAGTTACCTAAGAAAACCGTACCACCAGAAAAACGCTCCCGTACTCCGGCTGCTCCAGAAAACGTCCAGAGAATCACCCGTCCTTTAGAAACCCCCATAACGACGCTCCCCCAAAATTCTTACGTTAGGGCAGTCAGCAGTCCCCCCACTCCCATCCAAAAGTCCAACGCAACCCCGTGCACCTCTTCAGCGCCAGTTGCTTCCCCAACTTTGGAACAGAAACCCCAGGTTATCGTGCAAACGATGGTAGCCAGCATAGTTGCCGCCCTCCAAACACCCACCCGTGGATAATAACGGTCACCCAAATAGTCTTCGAGTAATTACCTGGAATACTCGAAGCCTTAGAGGTAATTGACTCGAACACTTCCTCGAAGAACAGTCAATCGGTGTTGTCTGCATTACCTCACTTATCGCAGAAAGTCAAACTTCACATCCTATAGAAGAGACCGTGAAAACTCTGGAGGCGGTGCCGTAACCATCCTCGTCAGGAACTTTTTAAAACACATGCCCATCCCTTTGACCACAAATTCATTAAAAGCAGTTGGGATTGAAGTATCGCTAACTTCCGGCCCCTTCAGAATCATTCCCTTTATTCCCCTTTTCTTTCGGATTTCACCTTCCTCTTGCCCCCAAACGTCTCGACGATCGTCGCATGCGATCTCAATGGCAAACATGCCTCCTAGAGCTGCCGACAGACTAACAAAAAAGACATTTCCCTTCTTGCGAAAGTCCTTGACCTCAGCCTTGCTTTTGAAGCTCCACCATATCTTAGATACCACAGGTTGCTAGTGGCATTTAGAACACAAAATATTACAACACTTTTAATCTTTGAAGCAAGAATCTGTATGCTGTACCCTCTGACCCTCGCGATCAACTTGATTCCAGACCGAAATGATGTTTAAAGAGGTCATTAGCAAGGTGTATGACTCTTCATGACCGTATGAACACCTGCACCTGCTAGACAGGGCGTTAGATTTCAATTTACATGGGATTGCTTTTATCCCATTAAACTTAAACAAATTCCTGTATTTGAGGAGCTTAATAATATTTCAGTGAATGTGTATGGTTTAGGAAATTCATTTCATAGCGGTAAATATATCACAAAAGTTGTTGAACCGTTGTAATATTCAAAAAACAAAAATAAAATTTGTTAATATTAGCAATATCTGAGGCACTGTATCTGGCTAAAAAATTTATCGCGCCTATTCTTACCTTAAATAAATAACCATGGCCATCAAAAATATTTTTGCGATGGTTGTCTTCAGTATTTTAATAAACACAAAAATCTATTACATTTATTATTATTTGATAATAAAAATATAAATAAAAATAAAAAGGTCAGAGATAATTTTACTAATAGGTATAGAACGTAAAGAACACTTAAAACCCCAAAATTCCACAAAACGTTAGAAAACCTACTGGTAAATGGCTTTCTGTTTTCGTGGTAGAAGTGGGTTATGTACATAATACAAGTTATACAATTTCGTTAGATGTATAATATTTGTTAGTATATGGGGCTGTCCATAATAAGATGTTTAATATGATATCTTCTAGACGATAATATATGTATTCCTATAATTTGTAATAATATTCTTGATAGGAAATTTGCCACAATTGATTGGGTTGTTCTTTCTGAGAAGTTTTTGAACTGAAAATACATCATTCCGGCGCACAACAGCCTTTGTTTCAATTATGATATTCATAACGTCATAAATTCGTCAAACAATTACTCTCACTTGTCTGTTTAACGTTTGCTGTGAAATTATTACATATTAGCTGTCTGTAGAAAAGTAAACTAAACAAAGACAGGAATGGATTGATTCCCTCAATTACCCAAGTAAATGCTCTTGAATACTTGAAATACTAAGCGCATAAAAATAATCCTTGCTTCTTCTTTACTACTGTCGCGTACAGGCGTACGAAGTAGGGTTCGTTTTTATTAAGTCAAAACTCAACTTCCGAATCACTTATACTACCGTCATCAAAGTAGATACTTTCGGGGTTGAAATACTAGCTGAAAATTTCGACCCGATCACACTCGGTCACGTTGAACTTTTCGTAAACATCTTTGTTGCTTTGTACTTAATAAGATATGAGAGAGATAAAGGTTCTTGGAAGTTCTCACAACGATGCAGTAACAACTAAGCATGTTGACATCTGCACGGATGTTTGTTGCTATTCATGCTGCAAATTCTGAAGTACATATAAATAAAAAAGAGCATGCTCTTTAACGTCAGTGTAAATTTCGTAAATCCCTGAAGGACATTAACTGATGCCGATTTGGACACACATTAAAAAACTTCGAATCCCCCATTTGTTGTCAATCACGATAAGAAAACGAGGACCTGGATGACGGAGCGCGAAAGGTCCGTTGTTGGTTTGAGAAAAAAAACAACTCGTCACCGCAGTTGGCTTTGATTTATCACTATCATAAAATAGAAAAGTATACAAAAAGCAGGAATTTCAATCAACAAAAGGTTTTAAAATATGGACATTACCATTACGTCGTGCCCGCATTCAATGTGAGCGAAACACGTTTCCGTTTTTAATAAAAAATTGTGATGTATAGGGTGAGTCTCTTTGTTATTATTCTAATATATAACCCTAACTAATGAATTTAAAAGCACTCTCTTGGTTCTTATCAAATTATGCTCTAATGTACAATAATTAAAGTATAATAAATTATAAATGAGCGTATAGAATCATAAAAACATTACGAATACTTAATTACGAATTATATTTAACAACCAATAAAGAACATTAACTACACTTATCAATATTATTAATTGTATAGTGTTGGTAAATTTTTATAAATCCATTCGATGTATTTCCTTACATTTACATAGACGCTCGGTACACCAGCCATTCCGCATTTATCTGACCCGAAAGACATTATTCCAATCTGAAAATAAAAAAATTAATGTTTTATAAAACATGAAGTCCTGATAGTTGTTTATTATAAAGTTGTAAGTACATATGTTAATTAGAAAGCCAAAACAACTGGAAATACTTTAGAATTGCAGATTATTATATCAACAAATCAACCGTAGTTATAATAGGAATGTTGGTTTTATGAATGAGGCACTGCTACATTTCAGGTGACATAAAATCCTTTTGCAATCGCTATTTAAGCATGATGTGATTTTGTATTGCAAATGATAATTGTCGTTGTTATAAGAACTTTTGAATCAATCAACGCTTTTTATATACCTACCTCTCTACTAAATTTTAATGTTTAATTGTACTGTCTGTTTGCCGCAACGTAGTTTTTAATTATTTATTTATATTATTCCGATCCGACGGGACTTGAAGCTTAACGAAACTCTTGTACAAACAAGAGTGGGTGGATCGGCTTACGAGTTTCGATGATTTAGGGAGCCGGACCATAGGTTCAACAACCAGACTAAGACAAGTCCCTGAAAGAGGGCAGCAGCTCTTTCAGTACTCAGGGAGGCAGAGATCACGAGGATCGGTATGGCACTCTGATGCACAATACTGCGATGTGGAAGGCAATGGGAAACCACCACATTATGATCCCGAGTACAACGTACGTTAAAAATTAAATGATGGCGTTCTCTGGGGTAAAGCAATCCAGAGATAAACTAGTCGTATTCACATGTCCAGGCGGGGACTACCTCGGGGGATGTCATCAATGCAGATGTAGAAGACGTGTTAAGTTTAGTGAAAGGACAGGAAAACCCAATAGTTTTAGGAAACTTTAACGCAGTAATAGGTGAAGATAAAGTGGGAGCAATAGTAGGTTCTTTTAGATTAGGCAATAGAAATGATAAGGGAGACAGGCTGATAGAATTTTGCGATAAACGTAACTTAACCGTCTCGAAGACTTTATTCAACCATCATGTTAGGAGGCGCTATACGTGGAAGTTGCCAGGTGATTTAGGGAGGTATCAATTAGATTACATACTTGTTAGACAAAGATTTAAAAATCAAGTGAAGAACTGAGTTATCCAGGAGCAGATATAGATAACGATCATAACTTAGCGGTTATGAAGACCAATCTCAAATTGAAAATTCTGGAAAAGGGGGAAGGTAGGAGACGTCTAGATAGGATAGGTATAAGGACAGACGAAATACTAAAGGCGGCGGGTGAAACGAATGACGGGGACATAGAGACAGAATTAAACTGCATTAAAACGTGTCTAAAGTCAGCAGCTACAAAGGTACTAGGTCTTAAACAAAACGAAAGTAGGAAATCCTGAATAACAAATGAAATTGTAGGATTAATAGACGAAAGGCGGAAATACAAAAACAGGACAAACAAAGAAGGGAAGAAAGATATAAAACTCTAAAGTGGGAAATAATTAGGAAGTGTAGGGAAGCTAAGGAACAGCGGATTGATAGGATGTGTAAAGAAGTAGAAGAAAAGTTTGAAGTAGGTAAAACCAATGAGGCGTATAATACAATTAAAAGAAATTTTAGAGATGTAGGATACAGTAGTAATAATATAAGAAACGAGGCAGGGGTCATTCTGATAGAAAATGAGGAAAAGTCAGATAGGTGGAAAGAATATTTAGAGAACCTATACGCAGGCCATGAAGTATGAGATATACTCGTATTAGAGAAGGAAGATAGTGTGGAGGTAGATGAGCTAGATTATCCCATAATGAGAGAAGAGTTCGGTGTAGCATTAAAAAATTTAAAGAATAATAAGGCCCCAGGTGTAGAATAAATACAGGGGGAAATTCTAAAACATGCAGGACAAGAGATTAGAAATTGTATCTTTAAGCTAGTTAGTCACATTTACGAGACGGGGAAGTCCCAGAGGATTATAAACGGAACATGGTAGTAACTTTACCTAAAAAGAGGGGCGCGGATAGGTGCGAGACATTTAGAACAAATAGCTAGAACTTTACAGAGGAGGATAGAAAAAAGAGCGGAAAACCTATTAGGGGAAGATCCATTTGGGTTCAGAAGAAATAGAGGAACGCGGTCATCTAGCTTTACAGGTAACAATAGAGAAAACGATAGAAAAAGGAAAGAGTGCGTACATGGGATTTGTAGATTTAGAAAAACCTGTTAACAATGTTAAATGGGACAACATGTTAAATATACTTAAAAATGTAGGAATGAGTTACAAAGATAGAAGAGTGATACTTAGTTTGTATAAAGACCAACAGGCAGTTATAGATATGGGGCTGCAACGTAGAGAAGTAAATATTAGGAAGGGAGTCAGGCAGGGATGCACACTGTCACCGCTACTTTTTAATCTATACATCGAAGACGTGTTCAACATCATTAAAGACAGTACAACTGTAGGGATAGATATACATGGGCAAAAGATTAGTATGCTTAGATTTGCAGATTATATAGCAATATTATCATCTAGCAAGGAGGAGTTAGAGATAGCTTTAAATAAAATGGAAGCGGTACTGACAGATCAGTACTGTATGAAAATAAATAAAAGTAAAACTAAAATACTGGTATGCAAGGGAAGAAAAAGTAGGAAAAGAGCGCATATAAAGATAGGAGACGAAAAATTAGAAGAAGTTAGATATCTAGGAAGTCAGATAAGTCAAGACGGAAGAAGTAATAGGGATATAAAGCAGAGGATAGCGCAGGGTTGTGTCGCCTTTAATAAAAAGAAGTCACTTCTATGCTGGCGAACGGTTAATTTAGAAATTCGAAGAAGGTTGTTAAAAGGTGTATGTATAGAGCGTGGCGTTGTGCGGATGCGAAACATGGACAGTGGGCGCGGCGGAAAAGAAAAGGTTGAAAGCCTTCGAAATGTGGTGTTATAGGCTAATGATGTAGATAACATGGGTAGAAAAGGTTAGAAATGAAGAGGTATTAGAAAGAATAGGAAAACAGAGGACTCTATGGAAGTCAATAAAAAATAGGCGAGATAGGTTGGTAGGACACCTTCTCAGGCATGAAGGTCTAGTCAGAGACATATTAGAGGCAGAAACAGGAGTTAGGAGGGCTAGAGGTAGACCTAGGTTAGATTGCTGTTCGCAAATCGTTAAGGATGTGGGTTGTTCTAGTTTTAGGGAAATGCGAAGTTTAGCTCAGGATATGAGATACGTGTGCAACCAGTCTTAGGACTGACCACCTTATGATGATGATGATTATATTATTGTAATTTTATCTTAATATGTGTATATGTTTTTTATTTATTAGTGTTTTCATTTATACAATTGTACTTATACCCAATACTGTTTATATTCGTGTTAATTCGCATATTGCGATTATAACAATAATGTTTTTTACTCAATGTAAAGAAACAGGATGTCAATAAGAAAACTTGAAAGGTTTATTTGTTTCCTTTTAGAAGTAAAAATAGGGGTAAAGAGAAGCAGGGAAAGAGCTAGATTAGGTTACTGTTAAGTTAAGGATGTGGATGTATAGTTTTACGGAGATACGAGGATTAGATAGAAAGAGGTGGATGTGCGTGCTTGAAATATTAACGTTAACTATATGAAATCCTATGACATTCTTGGTTACTAATAGTGGATTAATATGCAATATTAATTTGAAATCATTTTTTCGATTTAAACTATTTTTCCCTCATTAATTTGAGGTAGTTTGTAGTGGGTAAAATTTAAATCGAAAAAATGATTTCAAATTAATATTAACGTTAACGTTGTAAATTCGAATAAATTTTCTTTTCTTACTTGGTAAAATATATCTCCTCTTTGCTCCAAAAGAGGCGCCCCTCCAAATCCTGAGCAGGCGTCTTTCCCTTCCTCTCCTCCGGCACAAATGTTACTGTCAGTAACAGGTATTACACTTGAATAAACTTCTGAGCAGGTATCATAATTTACAAGTGGTAAGTGTACTACTTGTTGTAGGTTGGACATTTCTGCAATGTTGAAAGTAACACTTCTAAATTAGAGGTATCAAGAAAAATCTTAACAGTTTTTAGCTTGGCGGCAGACACTTAATTTCCGGTTTTTAATTTTCATTTTTGTAGTCAATGAATCAAAACTTTGCATATTTGTTATTCGATTTTACTAATTCATTGTTTTTATAATGTCAAGTTACTTATATGAAATTATTAAAACATTTTACCTTATTGATTTCACCACTGTTAAAAAACTGTCATTGTAATAATCACAAAAATATGAATAGTAGGTTATACTGTTGGTCAAAGGATAACTAGGGATACACCGATAGTTAAATAACTTAAAAAGTAAGAAATGTAGTAGATATGTTTTTCAAGCAGTGTTTTTTGCTATTTCTTCGTATTGCAATCAATGAAAAGTAATAATTTATCCTGGTAAGTTATGGGCCTAGGATACCTTCTTGTGTAAAAGTAAAAAAAAATTAAAAAGTTAAAAGTATAAAAACCAGTAAAATTGTCCCGTGTCTGCGAAAAAAGGGTACAAGGAAACAAATGGCACCAAGTAATATATGTAGAGAAGAAACCGCTCAAATAGAAAAAGTGGTAAATGCTGAAACATTTCAAGTGTGAAATTTTCAAATAAGAATTTTGTTGAAAGTGTGTAGGTTATATGAAATTGTAAAAAGAGAACAGAAAATGGAGAGTTTAACTGAAAAAGAAGAAAAACAAAGCTGTCAGAAGAAAGATGCACAAGCACAAAAGGTGATAATCACAATTGATAAAAATATTCTTTTATATATTATGACCCGAAAACAGCGGTTGAAACGTGTGAACTTATGTGCAATTTATCAGAAAAACAATTCTTTAATTTAACTATGAGAAATATAGTGATATCTCACTGCATATTATCAAATTAGAAAGTTTTGCCTTCAAATTAAAAGCACTCAATCAAACTATAAGTGATGAGATGTTGATTTCAAAGATACTAAGTCCTTTGCCTGAAGATTATAAGTACTTTCCTACAGTCTGGGAGTTAACTTCAGTCGAACATCGTACTCTAACAAATTTAGTTTCTAAATTCATTGCTGAAGAGTCAATGAGAAAAGACAGTAAAAGTGAAAAACCAATAGCCTTCATTGAAACAGAAAGTGTGCTACAAGTGTAAAAAACAAGTAGTACAGTCATCTAAGTTAAAGAAGAGGGTCAATCTCGGAATGTGAGATAACAAGGTGTAAATTTGTACAAATCTGTATTTTGACATTCTAAAAGTTGTGCCAAAAGTAACATCTCGCCTCCGCTTCTTAAGATATTTAAGGTCAAAAGTCACCAAAAACTAATTTTTGCAAATATGGTTTCAATGACATTTGTTTATATTATGAAAATTGTAGAGCATAGAATTCACCACAAATTCTGTTCTGAATATTTTTTTATATGCTTAACTGTTTTTGAGGTACAGCGCGGAGAACCCGCAGCACTTAGCATAAAGTCAACCGTGAGTTCCAGTAATCAACATATCAATCGTCTGTCTATACTATCAAATTCAAACTTGATTAAGGAATGATTTAGAACTCTAAAAATAGGGTTGAGTTCCGCAAAATGGACTCCTGGAACCGATAACGACAATATTACCACCAGTTCCAGACTGAATACAATATTTTGCAAGTGCAAGAATGGGTAAGGTTCATGCTGCGCATATAAAAAATCAGGGTTGCAAATATTTTGCAAGTGCAAGAATGGTTAAGGTTCATGCTGCGGGTGGCAATGTGCTTTAGCTTGTAGTCAGTGTAATTGGCAAGTGTGCTTCAATGCTTCATAGTATTAAAGCGATCTCGATGAAGAAAGTTCACTTGACCCCGAAATCCTTGGCGGTTTAGAGACAAATATCCTTGAAAATGAAGACGATCGTAATGAATTAGAAATTTTTGTGCGACCGAAAGACGATGATGAAGAAGAACTAAGATTTATGTCCTAAATATCAAAGTTTGCAATAATTTTCCTCACATTTGAACTTCAACTGAATCAATGTATGATACATAATTGCTAAACAATTAAAACTTATTTACTCTATTCCATTTCCACCTAAAATCTAAATGAGATATACCTAATATATAAGATATACAAATATTCTAATTAACAATTTTTTAATTACACAAACTAGGTAGGTAAGTATTATTAAACGAATATATTTGATCAATTAAAAAAATTAGACATAATGCATTCATTAATAAATAATATAAATTATTTGCAATTATGGGTTTTTTAGTAATTGACTAACTTTTTCTGTTTTTTCATTTGTCTATTTATTGTTTTATATCTAATTGTGGTGATCAAATTTTTGCCCTTTTATTAATTACTTATTTATATTAACTATTGTTTTCATCTATACAACTCTCTCCGTTTAAATTTATATTATAATACGATATACATACCCGGAGCGCAAATCTTACCATCTAAAAAACGAAATGTATTGATGAAGAAAGTAATTAAAGGCGAAACGTCGATTAATGGTTTTTCAAATGAATTACTTTTAACCCTATATCGATTTTAATTCCACAAATTTATTTCTCTTTATGTCTGTCATAGAAAAAGCAAGCACATCTAGTTAATATTACAACATGTAAAAGCAGGTTTAACTTAATCTTAAGTAGTTCCTAATTTTGTATAGCGATTTCTTTCAAAAATATGTGTTATTGTTGTAAAAAAAATTAAAATACCCACCATTCTCACCAGCTTTTTTACCCCAACCTACAAGGACAGCAGTTCCACCCAGCATAGGCCATTTTTCCGGTAAGCACAAAGGTTGAGCAGTCACTAAAAATTATTGAATCTATTATTTCTATAAAATAAAAATATTAAAAAAAACATCAAAATATGATGAGAAGGTAAGTACCAACCAGTACTATACACCATCGTGAATTTAGATTTATGCTTATTGCAGTCATTCAAAGACTGCTATGAAATTTAAATGCAAATTCTTTGCTCATTATGTATTGAAAGGTCAAAATAAAAATATACTAATTTTAAGCAACCTTTGTTAAAAATAACAACAACGGTTACTTTCAAAAATTGTCAATTACTTTGAAACTGATTGAAAAGAAATGTGATTCTACTTCCATCTGAATGTTGAATTGATTAAAATAGGATTCCTTCTATTTAAGCTAAAGAGCTACTATAAACGATATGAACGAACTGTAGAATGCTACATTTTGTGGGATTCATAAATGTTCAACAAGGTTCGTAAAGGGTATCAACTTATCGAACTGAACCTACGGCGCAGCTATCTTTACGTGACAGATGCGTAACCAAACAGAACACGAAGTTCAGGTAGTGTTAGTACTCTGCGAAACTCGTGATGTCAACTTTAATTAAAGTTTCGTTAAGCATACAATTTTGACTAGACATATGTAACACTGCACTGCACCGCGTAATTTCCTCAACTCAGTTCACTGCGCCGGATGTGTTAACTCACTTCTACCAAATATGTTGGCGCACAGCGCAGAACCGGGAAATTCGAAAGGTGTTAAGGTGTTATGCTGTCAGACTTCACTTTCAAAAATATATATAATATACAATTCATTAAAAAAATATTACGTACATTTTTAAAGCATTATCTATTTAATGTTATTGAATAACAATTATTGCTATTCACGATTGTAACAAGGATTATATTATCTTTCATGTAAGATGGGTACTGTGACAGTTCTAAGTGTGAAAGGGAATTATACAACAAAAAACGCTTGATCTCATTCACTGAGTGAACAATGAGCCAACGTAGCTTGCGCGTTGTGCGCTGTTTGATGAAAGAACCTGTGAGCGCGAGGTGGAGATGTGCGTTTCGCTTCTCACTCGATGCTTTCCATTTTGTTACGCCATGGTGCAATTTTGAGTAAACACAATGAGCCGGCGCAGTAAATTGCGCCTGAGTTACTAAGTTAACACGCTGAATTTCTTTGAGTTACTCATGTTTAATTCCAACAGAGCACAGGTCTCTACAACACTACTTGTGACAGTGTTTTATGAATTACTACAAACAAAGAAATGAACGACATCTGTAGAATGCTACACTTTGTGGGATTCATATTCAAAAATGGCCTTGTCGAAGAAGAAAAGTTGAAAACGATTAAAATCAGTCATTGCTTTTCATGTTGTAACACATTTCATATGATGATATTTTTTCAAGGTACATTTTGTTCTGCACTGCATTATTTAAAAAATTAATAATTAACATGTAATATTCTTGTTCCAATAGTATTAATTTTTAAAAATATTAATTTCTATTTAGTCTGACTGGCCTACATGGGCACCAGCAGAAGGGCGGATTCTCTGTCATGAAAGAAAATACACAGAAAAGGATTAGGAAATATTTTTTTATTACGCCATTGTTTGAATAAATGCTTAAAGCGTTTAGGTTGGTCAGAAATATCTAATTTTATATGTGCATACCTGTAATTATATGGATACGCTTTTAACTATAATTAATACTAATTGATGGAAATTATAAGGAGACATTATGGGTAAGCTTGGAAATGATGAGTAATCTCTGAAGCCACTCATCGGTTACAAAAGAATTTTCGTCAATACTTGGAATGAATGGCCTTTCAAAGTAAACATGGACTGTACATCATTTCGTTAAAATTAAAGGGCTTTTCGTGGATAGCAATTTTGCAACCACCGCCCACTTGGACTAAATTGTTTCCAACTTGCAGTCATTATTTGAGTTGCAGTTTAAACATCAAAATTGTTGAATGTTTTAAATTGTTAATGAAACTATTTGAGCTCTTTTGTTTCCTCCAATACATTGAAAATGTTTCATTACTGTAACTTCTCTAATTAAGTATTACCTGAGTAATTTAATTTCGATGATAGAACAATAAGAGCAATATCATCTTTATATATTTGCTCATTAAAACCAGGATGCACGATAACATGACTGACAGGAATATCCTGAGTTGGTAATCCACAGAATTCTGGTCCACAATCAATATCTGAATTCAAAAGCCATTCCCCTATCCGTACAGAGTACCTGTGAATAGTCAATAATCGGTATTATATGTTCAGAAAAAAATAGACTAAATTAATTTAATTATTTGTACTGCGTAAACCTCTAATACTAAATAATAATAAAACTCCATAATAAATCAATTGGATAGAAAAGGTTAGAAATGAAGAGGTATTAAAAAGAATAGGAGAACAGAGGCTGTAAGGAGGTCAATAAGAAATAGGCGAGATAGGTTGATAGGACACCTTCTCAGGCATTAAGGTCTAGTCAGAGACATATTAAAGGCAGAAACAGGAGTTAAGAGGGGTAGAGATAGACCTAGATTAGATTACTTTTCGTAAATAGTTAAGGATGTGGGTTGTTCTAGTTTTAGGGAAATGCGAAGTTTAACTCAGGATAGGAAAGAGTGGAGGTACGTGTCCAACCAGTCTTAGGACTGACGACCTTATGATGGTAATGAATAAATCAATTACCTAAATATTTAAAATGCTTTCAACATATTTATTTGAATATTCGACAAATTCGTAAATTATAACAATAAAAAATACTCCAAAACGAATTCGAGTTAAACAAATTTATGTTGAAACGCTTTATTCATTTGACTACATACTAGCCTTTTTAATGTTTATAAACAATCTCGTTTAGGTTCTCTTAAGTGTTGTATAAAAACATATAATGTGTGAATGCAATACTTTTGATGTGTTATTATGTGCAAAGACGTTTTTCAAGGTGGTAACTATTAGAAATTATTTCACAAATTTCACATAATTTCACTTTAGATTGAGGAAAAAGTACCCACTGAAAATAAGACTCGTACATATTTCATGATATTAGTGGTCAACATTCACTTCCTTAGTTCCACAAAAGAATCCTAATACAAAATGGGTTTCCTAGGTGACTCAAAGCAATAAACAGAGTGGTTTCCATCCAATAAACCCTCCTGCCATTTCTGAACTGGTAGACCGGAATTGACTTTTGAATACTAGCTATGTGAAGCCATAAATTCTTCATACTCCGGATTCGGAGTTCCAGGTTCCATAATTCTGATCCGAGCATCTTCGTGATTATCATCATCATCATCATAGCGTGTGAATTCAAACGATTAAAATGGACAACTTTTGGTTTCTTACTCGGTGCACGTCTAATCCGATAGACATCATTTATTCGCTGGAAGATTTTCTATGGATCATCCGAAAATGGTGTTGCAGCTTCAGTAATAGATCCTTCTATTGTCTTGGATTGTACAGCCATACCACGTCTCCTTCCTGAAATCATCCAACAGTGACCCTCATGACTTAGATGTCCTTCATACGGCATATTTGTATGTGTACTTCTTCGTGGACGTCGTCAAGTTTCTTTCGAAGATCACTACTGCATTGGTTTTCTCTTTCGATGTTCATGCATTTGTCCCTGCAGCTGTCTCACATTATATAAAGAAATCAGTCAATAACGTCTTTCCATCAAACTTGGCTTTGAGGATACATTCGATAAAACGAGATGCGCCTGCTTCATTTCAATGATTTCTTCAATAACGGTCATACTTTCCTTTCCTGGAAGCTGGTTGACGATCTCTTCTGATATCCTTATATCTATTTCTTTTATTTGGTATTCAATTTTATTTTCTGTTTCAGCCAATTTTTCGTCGAATAACCTCAATTTTTCCAATATTTATTCTTTTAATGCTTTATAATTCTCAATTAATTACTCCTGTAGTCTTTGAATTTTCATTTAACTTTACTTCGAAACTTTCGTTTAATTTTCTTTTGATTTTTCTGAGGTTTTTGAATTTTTGTTAATTTTCTTGTGTTTATTTTCATTTAATTTTTCCTCTGATTTATTTAATTCAGCTTCAAATAAAGATGTCTGAGGATCAAAACTAGCTACCTGTTGTTTAGCTTGTTTCAACTAGGTTACTCTTAAACACATTAGTTTTTTAGGTATTTTGATTAGAAAATTCTCTTTTTGTTGATTATCATTCAACCCCACATCCATTGTAACCAATTTTCCAGTATTTATTTTATTTATTTAACGATAATTTATACTACAGTTATTTATTTACACTAACTAAATACTCAAACTACTTGTTATTTATATCACACGGTATTTATAATGCTTATGTACTTGTCACTGTATTTATATCACTCTGTATTCGCTGGTAATTCGCGTTGTTCATTTACATTCTTCTTGAGAATTGTGGCATATTTCTTGTTGAAACACGACAGTAGAGTGAAAATACGTGAAAAGTCGTAGAAGGTAATAAAGTCATGTGTGATATAGAACAGTGATTATTTCCTGTCGCAGATATATGCTGTATAAACAGAAATTTACTTACAGTTTGTAAGTGTTGGATTTTGCCAAAGCACAATGAGCAGCAGTCAATATCACCCTATTATTAATAATTGACCCAGAACAAGGATACTTGATATCGCCATTTTCTGTGCCTACAATACAAAACACGGTATTTTTCAATTAAAAGAGTTAATACTTTAAATAAAAGATGTTTTATCATATTCAAATTACGATTATGTAACTAAATTGTACTCCATTTAGTGGGTTTTGTCTTTAAGTTTTGTAAAAGAAAAAATTCTGAATGTATCCTCAAAATTAATTGATACCCCTTATAAATTTAAAAAATTAATTTTATCAAACATTATTTGTTTTTTTTGTAACTAGTTATTCTAAAAATATTAATTTCTATTTAGTCTGACTGGCCTACATGGGCACCAGCAGAAGGGCGGATTCTCTGTCATGAAAGAAAATACACAGAAAAGGATTAGGAAATATTTTTTTATTACGCCATTGTTTGAATAAATGCTTAAAGCGTTTAGGTTNCCTTATAAATTTAAAAAATTAATTTTATCAAACATTATTTGTTATTTTTGTAACTAGTTATACAATATGTTTTATATCAATTAAAAGCCTGCATAAATGTGTAACGTCTTTCATCCTAAAAAATAATTAACCACCCTGAAGAAGTGTGACAGATTAGAGGTGAAACGTAGTTATTATTTGTGGTATTAAATTAATTTTTGCCCCTAGACAGGATTTGATTTAAATCTAAAAACTTACTTTTAAAACCTATCCTTGCTACAAAGGGATACGCCCCTATACTTTTGTAACCTCGTCCTAAAACTGCAGGGATGCCACACTCTTGTCCATCAACCATTGGGGTTGGCGCTTGATTTGAAGGTGATTGCTGAACCATTTGGGGGCAACATACATATCCGGATCCTTGATACCCACAAGCTAAATTTGCTAATCTGTCAAAGTTAAAATTTCTCTCAAATAAAAAATACAGAAGTGCAAGTTTGGCTAATAATGGAAACAAAAGGTTTGTTTGGAAATCTTTTATCGAGAGAACCGTTTTAAATTTTTCGTATAATAGATATGGTATATAATGGTATATATACAATAACGGATAGGCCTTTATCGTAGAAACTCTAGCTTTCGAACGATGGCGATGCATAATTTGAATTAGATTCCAAACGAAAACCAAACAATATAAAAAAAAGTAAAACTATTGAATCATGATGACTAAAGGATAAATTTAGCTTTCAAATATAACGTAAATTGCTTAAAATATAACGGCTTTGTAAAAATCACAAAATTTTTCAGATCATAATCATGCTAAAAACCTACTGGTACGTTCCCGCTTGTTATTTACTCATCAAACTACTTCGTGGTGACTTGCTATAATTAACCAATTGAGGTGACTTTTCACGCAAAACAAGATCAATTTTCCATATGAAGAACAATTGATTCCAATTGCTTATATGCGTTTCTTTAATCAACAGATATACAAATTAGTTATATAGTCCATTTACTTTTAAAATTGACCAAAATAAAATAAGCCTGCATGCGAGATCATCTATTAACAGGCGGACAGCACAATCCTTATATAGTAGATGAATTCGTGCTCATATCATTTAAATTTTCCAATCGTTAAATGAGTGTATCGCAGAATTTCACAGTTTAATTTCATTATGAAAAATTTGTCATTAGCGCTCGATCTTTAGATATACATATTATACAAGTTCTGCCTCACGACCAGTGAAGTTGACCTAACTAATGAAAATAGTGAAAATCTCTCATTCAAGACGAAATTTTATGAATATTGATGCAATTTTGTAAGAAGATCAGAAAATGGATATGTTTTATTAACTTTTAGCATGAGAAATTAATATAGCATACAGTTATGGTTGTATATCATTATCTACTGATATCTGCTTCTACCTAACTGAGGTAGGAGGTGATATGACACTATAAAATAAGAAAACTAATTAAATGTTTGTATATGTCATCGTTTTTGAAGAAAATGTATCTCAAAGTATAAATAAGGGCCAGTCCGGTCCTGGCAGGATCACACAGAGAAATACGTTAATGCAACGCTGCATTCAATCACATCGTAATTAGCTGCATGCGTGTAGTATTTCTTTTGTATTTTTTATTCATGCATTGTTTACTATTTTTTATATTAGATTAAGTGTGATTGACGATGCTTATGTTACATCCTGCCTAGAGTAGGCTTTCTTTCTTTTAACGTTGTAAACTGTATGCAGTCAGTCTAAATCGCTGGCAGTAGGTCAGTGTGACACTGTCATAGGTCAGAACAAAATAATAGTCATTATAATGGAACTTTGTGACATGATATTGATTTACGACGAATGTAAATATAATAGAAATTTCAATGCTTTTGAATTCAATTCAGTTCCGAAGCAAGTGAATTACCACTTACCTAATTTTTCAGAAACACCTCTACCTTAAGATATTTTCAATTGTTAACGACAAGAAAAACTTCAATAATTCTCATATGTTAGCCCGCAATAATTAAAACGTTTAATGCTGGTATGTATTTCAAATCTGTATAGTTAATTTCAACAATGTTGCCTGCACAATTTAGCGGTCTACCCATTAGAATATTTCGGAAACTACATCGATTCGAATTTTCAAAATTTGGACAATAGCGTTATTGAGTATCCTCTCCTCAATTAAAATAACGACAACTATATATCACTCTTGGTTATACCGGAATTTGACCCCAACTTCGTTATTTTAAATAGAATACCCTATATATTATAACGGTTTTCAATTCTACTTATGATTTTAGATAGACTTTTATAATGTTTTTCTACTTCCAAAGTTTATCGTTTTCGAGATATTATTTTTTTTTATGAAAAGTATCACACAAAAGCTGGAGCAACAATATTCTTAGGAAAGGTAGCTATACCCTCAAGATTTCCCTCCATACTTTCAAAATAGGTTAATTGCATGCAGGGTGTTAGCAATTTTGTGGCAGATTTGGTTAACTTCAAACTATCGTAAGTCAATTTTTTCAAATAGAACACCCTGTATATATTTTCATAGCCTAATACAGAATTTTATTGTTTTTTAAATGGTATTATGGTTCCCTATACCCATCTCTTCTAGTTTTCAAATTACTTACTGTTCTTTGTAAAATCAACTAAAACTGCTTATTTATTTATGAAGATGGCTGTGAAATTATTGAAATTATAAGCAGAACTTTAAAACAAATAATATAAGTTAATTATGGTCACTCAAACATCTGTACTGACAGAGTAGTCATTAAATATTTTGACTGTCAAATGCAGCAGGTCCAAATTTACAGATACACAGTTTACGCGCGCGAAACCGGAACGAATCCCTATAAGTTTATTTTTCTTTCATTCAACTAATCAAACTTCTTAAACGTTGCCCTTTCGCCAGAATTAAGATTTACCTTTTATTTAAATTAATAAATGAAATAATTTAATTTTTTAGTGTTCTACATATTAATTCTATCTATTAATAGCAGGGATTTTTTGCGTAAATGTGTTGGGTGAAATAATAGAAATAGTATCTCATCTTTAGATTAAAAACAAATTCGCTTCATTCTATGAAAAAATTAAAATATGTTTTATTGTGAGTCTAACTATATGTTGATAAATTATCGTTAGAATATTTAGTTTCTAGTCGGCTCTTTAGTACAATAATTTAGTTTTACGAAAATACACAATCAGACGCCTAAATCGTGCAGGCCACTTATAACAATAAAATATAAAAAGTATTTTTTTCTGAAATATTGACAAAATTATGGATCGTAGAGAAGAATGATGTTAAAAAAGTTTGTGCGCAATAGTATTAATAACAAAACTAAACTAAAACAAATCAAAAAATTAAATAGTTATTGCAAAAAACTGAGACGTGATCATTTTTAATTATTGTTATAGTTTTGCTAAAATTCGTTTGAAATCTATCATAAACTATCTTGTATTGTAATGTGTTTGAAAGCTTCAAAATTGGCGAAACAGTTTCTACAAAACCTTACTTATTTATATCAATAACTTGTACGTTAACAATTTTTTATAAAGAAGGTTTAACAACACGAATTTTAAATTCTTCTTATGAACAATTGGAATAACCTTTTTTATTTTTACTGTTAGATCTTTCTAATTAAAAAAAATTGAAATGATACCTAAAAGTGCGATCTAAAAAGATAAAAAATCTTTTTAGAAAAGATTCAAACTATAATAATCAACTCATCATCATCCTAAGGTCGTCAGTCCTAAGACTGGTTGGACACGCCTCTAATATGTCTCTGACTAGACCTTCAAGCCTGGGAGTGTGTCCTCCTAACCTGTCATCTCCCCTACTTCTTATTAACTACCATAGAGTACCCTGTTCTCCTATTCTTTCTAATATCTTCATTTCTTCTCTATCGACGGTATCCTCAATAATCAACTCATTACAAAATTATTCATGAGAGACGAATGAAACCGAATGATGAACGTGAGGGCACATTTAGAGTTTGAGGTGATGGAATCGAAAATTAATCATAAAATCAAAGCTGACTATAAAATTTTGAAATATCTCGGCTTTCACACATCATAGAATCTGCTTTTAAGCAGTTAAAAAGGTTGAAATTTTACTTTTTTGTTAAGTAATCTCCAACCGTTGATGATCAACCTGGCATGTCGAAGAAAACCTTTATTTTATTTTATAAAAATCCTTAGTACACTTTTTTTGTTCAAAAATCTGCTCATAATAACAAGAGTACCTATAAACTATTTCGAAAAAGAAATAGAAGGTGAAAATTCCCAATACTAGCACAAATGTATTATATCTATCTAAAACAATAGTTGTTACTTTAAAATAGAAATTGCAAAATCGAAACGATTCCATTTCATATACAAAAGTTATTTTGATGAAGTATTCGAAATCCTAAATAGGTTACCTCCAAATATTTTTTAAAATAAAATGCTTTTTTCCACTATTGTGTATGATTGAAATTATTGTATTGTTTGCAACACGAAATGCATGCAAGTATATGTATAGAAAAAAATACAACATGTAATTATACAACACGCTACTGAAGTGAAACTTCTTCAAACACACAAACATACCAGGATAGGGGTTAAGGAATTCGTTTAATGGTATTATTTGTACACTATGAATTTAAATTTTACACTATACATGGCGGAGTTGTCTGTAACGAACGTTGCATTGAAGAGCGCTCACGGCTCAAGCGATCCCCACTACGAACTCGACTACGTGGCCGGGTAGAGGGGGTCACATCCGTTGCATGATTTCGTTACATAGCAACTCGCATGAAACGAACTTACACTACCGTGCGTAAAGAAGTTTCACTTTGAAAATTCTGCTAATAACTAATTAGGTCTCTATAGGTGACAGAATACTACAACAAAGTGTCGAATCAATTCTCTTGTTTTTATCAAGTATTCCATAGAAAACAAAAAATGTAATAACAATTGAATACTTTCGACACCATTTCTGTACTTGCCGGAATCTAATAAAAATTCTAGCATCTACCTGTGGTGCAACCACTCAATAGATTCGACTACGATAGAAACTAAGCCACTTTCATTTGCAATCAATATTTTTAAAATAGAAAATTGGTTTAAAACACTTCCAAATACAAATAGAAGTTAATGCTTAAAAAAGGCACTTAAAATGTAGGTAGATACCTGCAACAAGTCAAAAGTTATTTAGCATCCTGCTTTATAGAATAACAAATGAGAACTTATTTGAGGATAATATACCTTTCGCTTCTGGCACATTCGTTGTTCAAGACTTCATTAAGAAAAGGGCAAGAACTAATTGGCAAACATCTTGTATGTTGTGGACAAGTAAGTGGACTCTTGTAAGGGTACTTGACACCATTCTGTCCAGAATCCCACAATGCTTTTTCATTTTCTTCTGGAATCGAAGCTGTAAAATATTTATACGTACTCATTAAAAATTATATTCAATAAAACCAAGTAAGTGAAATATAGTAAGTAATGATCACTCCTTAATTCAATAAATTAATTTGGTTACAAATCGAGTTAGTTGACACTGCAGAATTTCTAATTATTCATTACTTTAAAAGATTGGAAATACAATTCAAACTGTCAACTTTGTATTAAATTGTTATAATATTCCCTTTTGTAAGGAATTATAATATGGCGAGATAATACAATTTCGTTATTAGAATATTCTTCTACTGTCAGTATATAATTTACCTATGAAGTGTAATTCCCAGCTCGTATTGCCACGGCGATTTAGTGGCATTTTTATTAAAGGTACGTAACTTTTAAACTAAAATATGATCCTACCGAAATCACAATTGAAATTCACTATATTTCATCACGGCGTCCAAAAATTTTTTATTAAAATTAAAATCATTAAAAACCCTTAAACGAACAAAAGTTTGACTTTATTTGCATGTAATCTAGTTCTTCTATGTACAAGATAGAAAAGTAACAAGATTATTCTAGCAAAGTAAACATATCCAGTGATGCAGATGCATGCGGTTATTTATTCCGCATAGCAAGTGTGAACATCACTGTTGAATGCTTTTTATTAATACTAATACGCGATTATTATATCCTGGATTAAATTGTATTTATACAAAATTTGAATAACAGTACTTAGATAATATTAAAAGGTTATAGAAAACGGTGAAATAATTATGTTTAGAAGTTAGAGAAACGACTTTTTATAATTTTACTTATTTTATTAAAAAGCGTTCACAAGATACAATAATGACTAACTCAAAAAAGAGTTATTACACAAAAGGTAACCATAAAAGTGCTTAGGGGAGCATAGGGTAATTAGAGTCAGCGGGTAATGGTAGTCAGTCTATTTTGCTGGTTTACAAAATAGTCGGCGCGTTGCTTTTTTATGGAAAGGGTAGTGTGACATCAACAGAAAACACCTAACACATCGAAATGCATTCAGTTTGTTTATAAAACAGTCATAATGTTCGTATACCGATTTTGCATGTTTCTGACGTAATTTTCGTCGATATTTGAAAACAAAACTAAGTACCTAATACTGTATTTCTCATGTTGCTAACGTTGTACATTTTCGAAATTTCTAAAACTGTTGGTTTTAAATTATTTTTTTTTAAATAAAAAGTGTGCTTTGGGGGTAATGGTAGTCAAGTGAGTCTCATTGCCCTGTATGATTTAAATAAAATATGAGTATTTTTTAGTTTTACGTTTTTCAAGGGAAATTTTCTTTTCGTAACAGATGCCTCGAAATAGAAAACGGACGACGAAAAAAGCTGGTTGGTCGTTGAAAGCTCTAAACTCGGCAATAAAAATGGTTCGTCAGGAAGGAAATTCAATGGGCCAAGCTGCAAATGAATCCGGATTGCCGTTTAGCTAGTAGAGTAGTTTATTATTTTCTTATATGTATCTTATACTTGAATTTGTTTGACTCTTATTACCCCCAACCATGACTCTGACTTTTTTAAAATTATGTTATATTTTTTGTATTTTCTTTTATTGCTAATAGCTTAATATTATAGCTTAATAAATACACTTTCTAAAACTCTAAATTGAAATTAAAATCTTTTGGGCTACTTTTTTACAGTTCTCCTTAACTGACTACGATTCCCCCATGCTCCCCTAATGCTAAATTTCAAAGAAATTGTCATGGGAACATACAAAAAAATTCACACAAAGTATATCTTGCAGGTGAGCGTAAATGCACCTGACTTAATTAAATAAGTATATGTTTATGGTATTGTAAACAAAAATGATTATTTTGTAGCTATTTTATTTTTCGGTAATATCCTTGATAAATATTTTTTTTCTGTCAATTACATGAATATCTAAAGAGAAAATATGCCTTCATAAAGGGCAACAAATACATTAATTTTGCCTGAAGCAGACAAAATACCTCTGCTTTTACACCCGAATGTGTGGACAGGGTGCAACTATCACACCTGCTGACTATTTATTTAATAGGCAAAAAAACCGACTCCGAATAGTAATTACGGGCACTTCTTGGTAAGTATTTAGATCATCATATATATGCCCCTCTTAAGTAAATATAGATCAAACATCGATTTTGAATAATGGCTTTTATTTATTACAAAGATAAAATTACGTAATTATTCAGAGTACATCCATTTAATGCCTTTTTTACAGTCTTTGTAATAGCGTATCAAGAACTATTCTTTTTTATTCTTCATCTTCATTATCAACTTTATCAGAAAAGAGTGATAGTACGGTTATTTTCCTTAATAAACATCACAGATGTCAACTGCATTTGCTCAATGTTGGGTTTTACCTACTTTATTTACTTTCACTGGTTCGATTCCAATGGGCCAGTTGTAATGATAATTTTATTTCACAGATGATCCTTCACTTTCGCCCGTCTCATCTTTCTAACCCTAACCACCACCCACCCACTCTCACGATTTTTAAAAGGAGGCTGAAGAGGACCTTCCACCGTACTCTCCGACGTAGGCAAGTGGTTTGGAATGAAACACCGAAGTTTTTTTTTCAAGCGCACTTTATTATTTCTTGGGATTTTTAACTATTTTCGTTCCAGATTCAGTATCCCGACTATTTTACCCTAACAAAAACATTTTGTACTTAAACTAAGCACTTCTAATCTAAAACGGTGACGATTAATATCAAACTCCGATACTACTGCTAGCATCGTTGGGAAAAAAAAATATACTTATTCGAAGTCCTGGTAGAAAGTTACAAATGTAAGGAGCAGAAATATGGAATGGTCAGAGTAGACAATAATCGAAAAAGTACAAAACAAATACATGAGATGGATCTTCAGGCAAGATTAAATAACACTAAACTTCCTACTAAAATCAGGAACAGAAAAGATGGTTAATAAGACAAGAAAAAGGGCGATAAAATATGAAGAGAAAATTAGAAAAGAAGGAAGTACTCTACTTAAGGTTAAGCAATTCCTACAAGTAAAGAATAACATACAATTAAACATTGGAAACGGGAAACGTAAAAAAGGAAAACGGCCAATAGCAGAAAAGTGGAAGATGGAGGAATTGTTAATAAATAAAAAATCAGAGCCAATTATAACTAAACCTAGAAGAAGACATTAGAATATAGGACATGAGAATTATTTTCTGGAAAAGAAATGGACATTGGACTACTATAACCAACTCATAGAGAATAAGAGCTACATATAGGTGGAAACAGAGAAAATTAAAAAAGAACAAGTCAAACAAAAACTAGAAGAAAAACTAAACTCATCGAAATACGCAAAGGAATACAAAGAAGTCAACCCAATCGATAAACGGAAATACTTGAAAGAGGGGCATAAACTCAGAAGCAAACAGGAAATGTATCCAAGATTCAGGTTAGTATCAGAAACGAAAGCTGCTGGCCGTCAGATAAATAAACTGTGCAGTGTGTGAGAAAGAGGAGGAAACCCTGCATCACGTCCAAAAATAGTATTCGAATAAGAAATGCAGCCAAACGCTCATCAAAAACATCAGGATATATGATTCGAGTACCCCATACTACCAAGTCTGACATTGTTGAAACAGAGAATTTTAAGGACCGTGTAGGTAACTCCCATGTGGAAAAATTCCACAAAATCAGAATGCGCTACTTCCCTAACAATGTGACTGGATCCGACACCCTTAAACATAGATGATATTTTGAAGGATGAACCTTTCGACTTCCCATACGTCAGTCATGGAGAATGATGACTTAAATGATTCTGCAGGCAATTCTGATTGAAAGGCGGAATATATTTAGCATTATATACTTCTAAGTTGTATGACGTCATTTGTTTGTATGTATTGATACCTATGTTTAATTTATAAGACTAATGGAAATACTTGTTGGATATTTATATAATTCTGAACATATAAAATACATTCAACATAAAATTAAAAAAAAACATAGGTTCTAGCTCCAATCTTCAAGTTTTGTTAAAGGCATTTTTGTGCGTTATTCCCGCCCCTATGCTGCTGTGACGGAGGTCGCTGCAGGATGAGACATGACATAGTGAATTTTTCCGTTACTGCTTGTTGTAATGCACAACTTTATTATTAATTAATAATTATTATTACTTCCAGCACGATTTACGCAAGTACAATTACCGCTTCATACATATGTTTTCGTACCCAACCGTTTAGAGAACATTAAAATTGTTCGAGTATTCAAGGTATAAAAATCTGGGTTTTTGGATTATGAGGGAAATCTTTTTAATACTTTTTTTTATTATTTAGCTTTTATTACTTCAACCTTTATCTTTATTAAAACCATTTAAAAACATTGACATGATTGATGTGTTTTCTTGCAAAATATGGAATCGAATGTTACCTTCATTCTAGCAAAAGAAGTGTAATCGTTTTTAAATTTAAATATGTTACCCATTGCAAAAAATTCATTTTTAACTTTATGGCTTTTATCAAACAATCTCGACAAAAATATTACAGGTTGTTGATTTCAAGGCATTGCGCATCCATGCGATGTTTTAAACGGCCTTGGTCAATGTTGGTCATTCGAGCACTGTTATACATACAAACATACATCCACTGCAATGTATAATTTAGTTTTAATTTCTCTTTGTATTACTAGTAGTATTTCATTATTATCTACAATAACAGTATCAAAACCACGTATCTTTTTGCGGGAGTATCATGCACAATAAGGTTTATGGACCAAAAAGCGGAAAAAATACATTATCAAAGAGAAGAACGCTGAGCACCTGCACGCATTTCCTATTGTGTCACAATCTCAAATCTTGAACAAAAATAGAATATTAAAAAAATATAAAGTAAAAATTCAAACAATAATAACTGAATTTTGAGCTTCAATTCAATAGTAAATCTAGAATCTAATAGAATAGGTTCTGTTTGCATTTAATGGGTCCCTTGTCCATCCCGCAATAATTAAAACGTTTAATGCTGGTATGTATTTCAAATCTGTATAGTTAATTTCAAC